TTTCATCTTGCTTAGTCTGGCACACGTTAACTTCGTCACTAATTTATAACAAATTATGTTTGTAACCACAGTTCTGCCTATATTTTATACAAGATTTTACTGGAACTATCACTGCATTCAGATACACTCAGAAAACTTAGATAGCAGATTGTTACAATTTTTGTTCTCATAATGATAAAGTTTTGATCTGCACCTCAGTCTAAAACCGGTCTTGCCTGAAACATCCCTACAGCTATCAGGAAGCTCCAGAACAAAAGCCAGAAACCTGCAATGAAGGAGACAGGAATCTTAAACTGCTTGAGTCCAGTGCTGCCTGCATTCTACTTTTTCACTGTCAATTCATACATCAACTTTTCAGCTGAAACGGATTATATTTAACACCAACCATCTTAGCAAAGTCCACGTGGTGTGAATTTACAACCCAGTTAAAGGAGGAGAGAAATACATCATACATGGTCTGATAGTAGAGCATGCCAAAAGAAATATTCTACTGAGATGCCCAATGAGGCTCTCTGGTATCGATCCACCCCGTGACCTCAGGTGAGCCAGGGAGAGTGCAATTCTCCAAAGCAGAGTAGTAGTTTCTCATTACTGCATTGGTGGGTTCGTTGTTATTTTCCTGTCCATAAATCAATAAATTATTCTCTAAGAATATTTGCTGCTCTGTGTCACAGCATTTCTGTATTCTTGTGATGGGGAGCTACAGCTCTGAGATGCACTTACTGTCTCGTTAAGGAGGGAGATATGGTCAAATCCCCCAAATGAGTCACAGTTAAGAAGTGGTAGGAGCAGGAGAAATAAGACATGACAGATTCCATTGCCATAGTTTCTCCTTGCTGTTGGAAAGTAACCACTTTTTTCATAACCATGTTGTCAGTGTATTTCCAAGACTAGTTTTTAAAGCGGAGTCTCATTACATCTGTCTAGTCTTTAATACATGTCTATTTACTTTACCAATGGCTTTTGAAACAGCCTTCAAAGACACTTGCTTAAAACCAGCTTTCCACCTGCTAATTAAACCTTAACAATCCCTTGTAATGAGCAACACATTTTTTCCCCCAAAAGGTGAATGTCTAAGGTGGCTGCTCATGTCAGCACTGAAGGGAGAGGTCACTTCTGAAGGATTCTCCATCACAAACATCAGAGAACAGCAGTCACTGAAGGACACCCAAAGCAGAAGCACTTTTCATAGAACCACAGAATGGTCTGGTTGGAAGGGACCTTAAAGACCACCTAGTTCCAAGCCCCCTGCCATGGGCAGGGACACCTTCCACCAGACCAGGTTGCTCACAGCCCCATCCAACCTGACCTTGAACACTTCCAG